TTTTGGTCCAGTTGCTTTCCCTGTGATGGTCTCCATGTTCCCATCATGCAATGGGGACAGTAATCCCCACCAACCTCGCGGGACATCCTTTGTGAGAAGGAGGGGATCAGCAGCGAACCATCACACTATTGGGCTTGAAGAAATCAACTCAATGCAATGTTAAGCCCAGAGATGACTGAGCTCTTTTGGGGTGGGGAATTCACAGCCCCCAGCCTAATCACTTGGGGTGGGGCCCTGCCAGGTATGTGTGGGATGGCAGAATTAACCCACCCCTCGCTTTGTGCCAAGTGCCACACCTGAGAAGGCCTCCCGTGGCTTTGATGTGGGCCCAACCCAGTGGGATGGGCAGGGCAGGACTGTGGGCAAGGCAACTCCTGTTCTCTGAATTGCTGAGTCATTAAATCATGCAGGCATCGATACACACACACACGCACTCCTGCACACGTGTGCTTGTGTGTGTGTACACAGACATTCAACACCCAGATGCACGCATGCATACACACTTGTACAGTTGTGAACATCCTGGTGAGTGCACTGCTCATGCACAGGCATGCGCACATGGGCTGACATGCATGCACAGCTTCATATGCCCATACTGAGCACAAGAGAAGAGACAGTGGCCTTGTTACTTGATGTCTTTTCCACTTGGGCTTTTCCTTCTGTGGCAGCAGGTCTGGAAGGACCTCGCAGTGGGGATAGGGGCTGGGGTGAGGAGAGGAGCTCGGCGAGGAGGGGCAGAAATGGTGTCGACTGCTGGCTGCTTCATCCGGGGAGGCCAACAGCCCCCTTTCCAGAAAGGATCCACTTAGCTTCCTGGGCTCATTTTCCTTCTCTGTAAGTGGGGCTGATCATGGTCATGACGCTTCCTCCCGGGGGGCAAGTTGAGATCCAGTGTGTCAGTCATCTGTAGGAACTGGAGGCAGAGCTGGGTTTAACCCCCCGTTCTCCCATTTACTTAGCCGTGCCAGCTGGCTACTTGCCTAGCCTGTCTAACTCCGCCCCTGCACAACCTGGCTACTTGCCTAGCCTCTCTACCCCCACCCCTGCACCCGTGATGGGGGTCGGGGGCACGTTCATACGTGGGGAGCCCTGGCACGTAGCAAGCTCTCAGAATTTTAGACTGTGAGCTCAAGAAGCTGTGGCTCGGGCTTCCTGGCTTCCTGGTTCCTCCTGGCCCAGGAGCGCCCTTGGATGCTGGCCAAGCCCCTGGGTGTGCCCACAGGTGCACAGACAGACTGTGAAGGGGAAGTGCTGGAGTGGACAGAGGGATCCGGACTGCTGATCATGTCCGCTGTAGCAACCACGGCTGCCCCCTCACTCCGCAGCCCACCCTGTGCACTCAGGCACCAAGTCTAGCTGACCCCGTCTCCTTGGTGTTTTACGAACACATCCCCACCTGCTCCCTCGACTGCCCTACTGCAGCCTGGTGACCTTTGCCTCTCACCTGTTGGAGCCTTTCTGCCATGCAATATCCAGAAGAAGCCATCCAAAGTTGAATCTGGTCCTCCCACTCCCCTCCTTTAATCCCTTTCCAGTACCCTCCACGGCCACGTTCCTGAGGGGACCTGGGACATCTGGGAACTGCTTCTCTCTGGCTACCACAAGCACAGGCCGCCGTTGGCTGTCTCTGTGGGCTGGACCTTCATGGGGCAGTGTATTAGTGAGGACAGGCAAGCTATGGCCCGTGACGAAAGATCCCAGATCATGGCGGTTCGCTCTACAAGTTTCTCTGTCCTGTGTCAGCTGATGGAGATGCTCTGCTCCACACAGACCCTCAGGGCTGCACCATCTGTGGCTGCTCCACCTGGAACACGCCTTCTCCCTTTAGCTAAGGACGAGAGTCACAGGCTAGTCTTACTGCTTGGGCCCAGAAGTAGCACAGATCACTCCCTCCCATACCCACTGGCCAGAACCAGTGCGTGACAGCCTACCTGCAAGGGGGCTGGGCCCAGGGAAAGCAATGGGTTTCCTAATGGACATCGCCACCTGCCACAAAGTGCACTCCCCCAACTCCCAGCAGTTGCTCAAGGTGAGACAGAGCTGGGGGCCTGGGACAGGGCCTGCTGACTTGCCCCACTTTCCCACCCCAGCCTGGCCCAAGGCAATTCCTCAGTTTCCACTTACTTGCCAAGACCCTAAGGAAGGTCATTGTCCTTGCTGTCCCTTTCCAAGAGGACCCCCAGTACTGTTTCTCTCGGGACCCAGTATGGAGAAAAGGTGTGTTGCTCCTTTGCAAATGCTGACTTTCATCTTGTAGAGACTACATTCCTCTCTGATTCTGTTTCCCTTGTCAAATTGACCACCAGGAAGCTCAAATCTGAGCTCCACCTCTGTGTGGAGGACTGGCACCAGCACTGTCAGTAACTTAACGGCATTTTTTTCTCTTCCCCCATTTCCTCGACCGTGGCTTTTCCCTTTCATCTATCTTGTCCTCTAGATTTCTGTAGGTGTTCTTAAATTTTTTCTAGCATCCGATGGGCAGTAATTAATTCGTTCCCACATTCTGTGCTGCTTCCTGTAGGTTTGGCAAATGCAGCTAGGGTTTTGGGCAAAGTTCCCAAAGGGAGAGTTGAAATTCTTGAGCATCATGGATAGACCCGCACCCATGAGGCCGATGATCTACCTCGGGCCGAGTAAAGGGTAGACTCGGGCCCCAATCACTGTGTGCTGCCTGAGGCCACACAATCTGATCCCTGTCTAGAACCATGCAGGGACCACCTGCCCAGGATGGGCAAGCTACGTCTCTGTCCTGACCAGCGTGGAGCACAGGCAAACATCCCCTCCCCTGGGTAGCTCTGGGGGCTGGGGTAGGCCGACGCTGTGCCCACACTCCCGGAGCAGAGCCCTAGGCCTCTCCAAGGAATCTCAAGCTCTTACAGAATGTGAGACTGACTCCGAACTCCAAATCAGGGCAGCCCGAGTTAGGGACTAAGGTCAGGGAGGAGAGAGGACCGTGTGCTATCAGGGGGGCTCTTAGGAGGAGGTGCTCGGGAGCTGGGAAAGAGGAGGGTTTGGGGTTTTGGAGATAGGAATGGGGCTGAGGGGATGGGAAGGACAAGCCAAGCGCTGGGAAAGGCCAGGACTGGAAATGCAAGAGCAGGTACAGGGGAGACCGGAAGGTACCGTCTAGAGGATGAGGGAGAAAGTGCATCTTGGAACATGGAACGAGGCCTGACCAGAGGCCTTGCATGCCAGGCTGAGGCGTTGGCCTTGGTCCTGGGCGGCGATAAATGGGAAGCTCAAGGGGTGATGCGAGGTGGGGCAGGGGTGGAGGCGCAACCAGGCCTGGAGTCCAGAAGGCAAAGAGGAGGCCACTGGTGAGACCTGGACCCTCTCACAAGCCGTTCACCATCCAGCCCTACACACCCCTGCAGCCCGCGTTCTCGTCACTGCTACCACCCAGTTTGTGTGTTTACGTGTGTGTATACGTATATATCACATGTATTGGTTTTTTTTTTGAGAGAGATTTTCATTGTAGGGCGCATGCGCTCGCCAGACAGACAGAGAGAGAGAGACATAGAGACAGAAAGCAAGAAATCACCCCCCAGGAGGGATGGTCACGCCGCAGTCCCTTCTCCTCCATTCTCCTCTCGGGATCTTGGGCACGCATGCACACGCGCCCGGCGTGAGTTTTAAGCCACCGGGTCCGGGACGCGAACCGCGGTTGACTACGTGGGAGTCCAGCGACATAGCCATTACGCTAACTGCTGGTTCCCTACCACATGTATTGTTTATATATGAAGGGAAATTTATATTTATACATTTTATATGTAAGCTTAAGTTTGGCTATAGGGCACATGTACTCACCTGAGAGAGAGGGAAAATGAGTTATCAACGCCCCCAGCCCATGGCCACTCTGCAATCCCTTCTCCTCCACTCAGCTCTCGAGATTTGGGGCACACGTGCACACACACGCACATACATACCTGGAGTGTTTTTCAAAGCATTGGATCTGGGACTTGAACCGTTCAGTCAGCCATGTGGGATCCAACAGCCTTAGCTCCCTTGTCTCCAGCTGGCCCTGTTTTTCCTTCCGAACCTTTCCTTGCTCCTATCACTAAACCACACGCGGTTCCCCAGACGTTCCACGTTTGCTTCTGTCTCGGGGTCTTCACTCAGGCTGCTCCATTTTTCTGACTTCCTCCTCCCACCTTGTCCTGCCCACATGGCCAGCTCCTACTCATCTTTCAGTTCACAGCTCAAGTGTCGCTTCCTCTAGGAAGCCTTCCTGACTGCCATGTACAAACCCCCATTCTCACCCATGGTGCGTGGGGTCTCCTATAAGAGCTGGGCTCAGGCCTCATGTCCCCAAACCCCCAGGGCCTGGCACAAGGCCTGCTCACACGTTGGTGCCCGGTAAACACGGAGTGAACAAATAGAAGGCGGGTGACAAGCACAGGACGCTCGCACGCGTGGACGGTAACAGTGGTGGCAACCGCTGCTGTCAATCAGGTGTCTGCCATGTACCGAGGGGTCGAGTCCATCATCCAGTTTCAGCCTCATGACAAGGCTGTGAGGCAGGTGTGTTTGGCAGAAAAGGAAGCCGGGACTCCAGAGGTTTAAGTCGCTTGCCAGTCAAGGCAGTAAGGGACAGAGCTGGGACTGGAGCCCTGGCAGGCTGGCTGTGGGGAGTGTTTGTAGCCTCTTAATGAGGCTGAGGGGCTGGGGCAGGGGGCTGCCTGATGAGTCGGTGGGTGGATGAGATGTGGGTAGCAGCGAGTTCTCCAGGGTTTTCCTGTCCTTTGTGTTCACATGTGAAGATGAAAGGCTCTGGAACAGGTCAGTGGCAATTGTACACCATCCTCCCAGCTCACCGGGCTGTAGGGTAACACGGTTATAGCCGGTTTACTGGTCTGCCCCTCGGAGCACGTCACTGTCCAGGTGGGGCTGCTCTCCTGGTCGTGCCCTCTCACCTCTTCCGCGGGTGGGATAAGAGGGATCCGAGTGTCCCGCCACCAGGGCAGAGACCCTCATGCCTTTGTCCCGTTTGTCTCCTGCAGATGTCATGGCACCCCCAATACCGGAGCTCCAAATTCCGCCACGTCTTCGGCAAACCAGCCAGCAAGGAGAAATGCTACGACTCAGTGCCCATCACTTGCAGTGTTCACGACAATCACTTCTGTGCCGTGAACCCCCACTTCATTGCGGTTGTGACTGAGTGTGCTGGCGGGGGGGCCTTCCTCGTCATCCCCCTGAACCAGGTAAGGACACCTGTCATGCTAGGACCCAAACAGGTCTCTGAAGACAGCACAGGACACAGGGGGACAGTAGAAGGAGTCTGGGTTTCTCTTCCCATGTGTCATTTAAATCCTGGCTGTGTGACTTTGGGTAAGTCATTTGATCTATTTTTTATTTATTTTTTAAAGAGATTTTTGCTATAGGGCCCATGCACTTACCAGAGAGACAGAACGTGAGAAATCACCCCCCAGAGGGGATGGCCACACCGCAATCCCTTCTTCTCCATTCTCTATTTGGGATCTTGGGCACGCACACACACACACACACACGCCCAGCATGAGTTTTAAGCCACCTGGTCTGGGACTCGAACCATAGTCGACTATGTGGAAGTCCAGCAATGTAACCATTATGCCAGCTGCTGGTCCCTTTATTATTTTAACTTGCTAGAGGGCATGTGCACTCACCAGAGAGAGAAAGTAAGAAAGCAAGAAAGCATCCCTATGAGCCATAATCACACCACAATCCCTTCTCCTCCATCTCTCCCTCATTTGGGGATTTTTGGGCGTGTACACGCACATATACACATTGCGTGTTCTTCGAGCTGCCAGGTCTAGGACTTGAACTGTGCAGTTGGCCATGTGGAATACAGCTGCCTTAACCACCAGGCTGGCCCCATTTTTCCTCTTCATGCCTCAGTTTTCTCATGGGGAAAAATAAGCCTATCCTGGGATTTCAGCTTCCAGCAGTTGGCCTAGCTGTTCCTAGGACCTCCCCTCCTCTCTGCAAAATAATCCCGGAAACTAATTCATCCCAGAATAAAATATGAGACAGCAAAGCATTCATGGAAAAAAGAAATTAAAGTGCAAGTTTATTTGGGTGCAAAATTTTTAAAAAGTGAAACCCCCACATAGGTTTTCATAATATGCATTTTCTAGGAACTTTTTGAATATCCCTTATAGAATTTTAAATGCTTTTCTGGGCTCATAGGAAACTGAGAAAATCTCCAAAGCCACCTACAGCCTACCAAAAAAAAAAAGGAAACAAATGTTGAGCCAAAACCTAGCCAGGAGAGGTGAACAGGAAGTGAACAGGAAGAACAGGCTTGTCCCGAGGGCCACTGTAGGCAATTTATTGATATTTGATCAGTCTTGACCCCAAAATATGACAGACTCATAAAGAACAGCCTGATAGCAGATCTTTGAGGATCCCGACCCTGAGTCTCTGCTTTAAGGTAGGCCGTCTGAGGGGTGAGGGATCCGGGGTGAGGAGTTCTCTGCTCTAGTTCCCAGGAGAGGAGGAATGAAGCTCTCCAGAGAAAGCGTTCCTGATGTAGGCAGGATTCCCACAGAGTAAGTTAAGCTCGGGGAAACACCAGTCCACTAAGATCACCCAGCATGTACACCACGGGTATGTTAACTAAAACAAGGAAGAGCAGACTGAGACCCCAAAGGACTGCAGAAGTTCAAATCAGAAATAGGGATTAGAATCTCACAGACCGGGCTTTCTGGTCACCCTGCAGCTGAGTTGGAAACCAGTAACAGAGGGTACCTGTTAAACTCCCAGGCAATAAAAATTGAAAAACATGTTTCTACATAACTTAAAGACCAATGGATGGGGCTGGCAGGTGGCATGGTGGTTAGGGGTGTTGGACGCTCACATGACCGATCATGGTTTGAGTCCTGGACCTGGAAGCTTGCTTTCTCACTTCTCTCTCTCTCTGTCTCTCTGTCCCTCTTCTCTCTTCTGTCCCTCTCTGGTCAAATTTAAAAATAAGTAAATAAATAAATAAAGTTAAATAAAATAATTCTTAAAAAAAATTAAAAAGACCGAAGGATAATTAAAATGGAAATGTAGAAGTAGTCGGAAGTAAATGATAATGAAATACATCACAAACTTACGGATGTGGGGGCCAGATGGTGGTGCCTCAGTAAAATGCAGTGTGCTGAGAGGTGGACCCATATGGGAAAGTTCTAGGTTCACATCCAGAGTCTCAGTGTGCTGGGGACATGTGCGCCCACCATCTGGGGGCTGCTTGAAGTCAAGGTAAATCATGGCATCAAGACTCTGTTGCCTGTCTCCTCCCCCCTTCCCCCTTTTCAGTAATGTAAATAACAACAACAACAAACTTATAGGATGCAGGAAAAACATATAGCACTAATACTTATATTAGAAAAGGAGAAGTCTGAAAATGAATGATTGAACATTCAACCTAAGAAGTTGGAACTAGGTCTTTGGAAGTGAGGAGCCAGATGCGTACAGTTATGTGCCAAAGCGGAAGGAGGAGGCTGCTGAGGTCCTAAAGAAGAAGCCTCTAGTCATGGGCACACAGGCACTAAACCAACCAGCAAGTTAAAATAATGGAATGACTTGTTTGGACCAGCTTAATATAGTGCAGGTTTTGAAAGCCACTGAAATGAAAGGGATGAAGAGTCAGCCTGGCTGTGATGTGTGGGCACAGCAAGAAATCTTCAGCCAAGAATTAAGAATTCGTATGCGGGGGCCAGCAGGTGGCGTAGTGGTTAAGGTGCTAGACTCCCACAGGGTCGACTGCAGTTTGAGTCCTGGACCCAGCAGCTTGAAATTCACCCTGGGCACGTGTGTGTGCATGCCTAAAATCCTGAGGGGAGAATAGAAGAGAAGGGATTGCAGTGTGAACATTCCCCTCTAGGGGGTGATTTCTTGCTTTCTGTCTCTGTTTCTCTCTCCAGCAAGTGCATGTGCCCTAATAGCAAAAATCTTTCTCGGAAAAATTTCAAAAAAGAATTCACACATGAGAGAGTGCAGGTAGACCTCTGTCACCCTGTAAACTGAAAGGGCTTTTACGATGGCAGCAGGCATGTGGCTTATGCTTTGCAAGGTTGCTGGGTGAGTGTTCATAGGATAGAAGATGAAACGTTGAAATTTAATAAATTGCTGCAGATCTGGGGGGAAAAAAGAAGTTAGAACTTGAACAACAGAGTAAACCCAAAGAAAGTCTAAGGAAGGAGATATTAAAAATCGGGTAGCAATGTGGAAATATATATATATATAAAGATATACTAGAAATCATCAAAAAAGCCAAAAGTTGTTTCTCAGAAGAGTCTAATAGACAAGCCTCTGGGAAGACTGGTCAAAAATAAACGACAAAGTACACATACACCAAGAACAACAAAACGTGCCTGCCAATGGCAGGGTGAGGGCGGCTAGATCCCACGTGACAGGCTGTGTGGTTCAAGTCCCAGCCCCATCGGCTTGAGAGACAGTAGGCATGTGTGCATGTATGTGTGCATGCCCCACATCCTGAGAGGAGTGTGGAGGAGCAGGGATTGCAGTGTGACCATCCTCCCTGGGGAGAGAGGGGGTACTTTTTCACTCTCTCTCTTTCTGTGTCTCTCTCATGCTCTCTAGCAAATTAAAAAGAAAAGAACAAAAAAAGGCAATAGAACAGCAGAGATTTTTCTTCCTCCCCCAAATTTCTGCAGTAGGACACCTCGCCCTGACTATTCGGATTAGAATCATTTGTGTTCTGCTGGTACCTCCTGCCTTCCTTGGAATCGAGGGGTACTTTCTCACTCTCTCTCTTTCTGTGTCTCTCTCATGCTCTCTAGCAAATTAAAAAGAAAAGAACAAAAAAAGGCAATAGAACAGCAGAGATTTTTCTTCCTCCCCCAAATTTCTGCAGTAGGACACCTCGCCCTGACTATTCGGATTAGAATCATTTGTGTTCTGCTGGTACCTCCTGCCTTCCTTGGAATCGAGGGTTGGGGGAGAATCGGTTCTTTGTCTATCCACAGATTACGTTGTGGATGCATAGCTGATGCTCCTGGTTTTCCCGGACTGGACGGATTACCTAGTGGTTGTGCACTGGATACGTAGGGAGGGCATTCAGTGGTACAGGGAACGGCGTGAGCAAAGGCCCAGAGGAAGGACTAACCGGGCAGGCACCACTTCACAATGGAGACATTCTGAGAAACACGTCGCTAGGTGGATCTGTCCTTGAGCAAACAGCGCAGGGTGTACTCATGCAGCCCCAGATGTTATGAGCCATGACACTCCAGGCTCTGTGGTCCTACGGCACCGCCATGATGGGTGCATCCGTAACACGTCGTTACACAGCACGGGACTGTGTGCATGTAGAATGTCCATGTGATGTAGGAAGCAGTCTGGCCAGAACAAATCACCTGTGAGGGAGAGAGGAAGGGAAATACCCCAGAGAGTGGACTGGGGCCAGGTGACAGGAGCCTTGCACGCCGGGGTGGGTCATGTGAGTCATATTCCAGAGTGAGGACATGTTTCAAGCTGGGAAGAGACGAGGGTGACAAGGGGTTTATAGGAAGACTTGAAGACCAGAACTGGCAGAACCCCTGGCATGCCTCATGTGACTCTTTGTTTCCTCAAGGTCTAGGTGCTTGTGATTGCTTAGTAATTAAATAAGTAATTAATTGGCTTCAGTTCTTCTGACCCCAGCTCTTTCAGAACTTACGTGAACAGTTTCTATCTTACATGAGCTACTCAGTATAAATACTAACAACTGATGTACGGAAAATAAGTTGGTTTGATGTGATAGAGTCTGACCTGGTTGGGGACCAGGGATGGTCCAGGAAGGCATTTCTGGGGAGGCAACCCTTGAGCAGAGAGTCCCTTAAGGCTCTCGGGGTGTTCAGGCAGAGTGACTAGTAAGTGTGAAGGCTCCAAGGCGGGAACCTGTGGCTGTGTTTGGCGGTGTTACCTGATTTAGAGCAGTGGGAAGTGAGGGCAAAGATGGAGCAAGGCCCAGACTGATGGTGCAGGCCAGGTGCACCGGGCTCTGTTCTAACCGCGGCTGGCAGCAAAGCGTGGAGCTGCTTCTCCTCACACTTCAGCGCTCAGGCAGATTCTGTTACAGTGCCTCTGAAGTGGGCCCAGAGAATCTGCATTTCCAGAAACTCCAGGAGCTGCAGACAAAATGCAAGCTGCCCCATTAAATTTGAATTTGGGATAAACAGAAAATAATTTTTCATCTTTAAAAATAAACATATAATATAATATTTAATTATATTTAGTA